CGGAGGGGCTGCAACCTGCTCGGATGCACGGGCAGAGGTTGAGAAACAAGGAGCGGGAAGGTCAGTCGGAAGCCCTCTTGTCCAGGCGAACCTGCAAAAGCAGAATGACAGCCGCAAGGACGGGGAGATGCTGGTCTGACGTACCGGGTCGTCTGCAAACAACTGGCTCAGACGGGCGGAGCGAGAACTGCCGAAAGGGCCGCCGCTTGAGCTGGAGTAGGATGTAGGACGGGGTACGGAGAAGGCGGCGGGTAAGGTGGCAGTGTAGGTGAACTCTAAGCGACTTCCATCGTCGTGCGATGCTGGGCGTAGGAAAGGCGGGTCGGTCGATCTGCTAGTTTGCAGCGAAAAGCTGAGGCGGCGGCCGAGATAAAGGTCGAGGGGCAACGGCGGGCGGTGTCGTCGCAGTAGAGCGAGGCTAAAGAGAGGAGTGTGGCGATGTGCAGGATGAGCCTGCTCGTGTATCGATGGCCTGCGTGGTCTTTGGGTGCAGGCTGGACGGAAACAGCCGGAATTTCGACCTCACCAGAGGCCGAGCGGGGTCGAGAGGAGGAGGTCGGGTCTGAGATGGAGGTTGAATGTATGATACACGAGACCGTGCGTGTGTCTGTGCGTTGCAGAGGCGATGGTCCAGCGCAGCGAAAAGTTGCAAGCAGGAGATAGGCAGGTTGGACGGAGAGCAGATTGAGGTAGACGGCGAAGTCAGGGGAGCAAGGAGCGAGAGGTTGGCACGTCGGTGAGAGGCTGGCGTTGTCGGCGTGGTGGTGGTAGAGATTACGAGCGACGACGGTGGGGGGTCGCGTATGGGCGGAAGCGGGCTAGACGATGACGGTGAGGATGGGACGAGGTGTTTGGTCGTGGGTTTGGCGGTGAAAGGAAAGAAGATGGTGACGAGATGGGCGATGGGGGGGGGGATGTGTGAGTGTTGGGTTGGGAGGCGGGAACGGAGGTACGGCATGCCTGGATGCAAGGCGGGGGCGGGCGGGCTTGCGAAGAAGTCACACCCAACGGCACGCATCCGCTGGCCCACCTCTCTCTTCTCTCTCTCTCGCGCTGCAGTCACACACTCAGCCTGCCTGCTTCTTCTCTGGGCCGACAGGCACCGCCCAGGGAAAGGGGAGGCAGAGGGAAGCGGGAAAACGAGAAATGAAAAAGAAAAAAAAAATCCCGCCGGGGGGGCACCTGAGCGCTATTCTGGCCGGCGGACCCTCCCTCACCGCTTCCTCGCTCTCGCCGTCGTCGCCTGCCTATACCACGATGCCCACCGCCAACGACAGTGCTCGTCGACGAGAGGAGACCGCGGAAGACGATGTCCAGGGACTGATCCGAGCTCTGTGTCCGCGGCGGCGTCGTCTGTTCGAGTGACAGGCCGGGGCCAAGGCGGCGCGGCCGGGTGAGGGCGGCGGCGGCGTCGGATCTCCCGGCAGCCTCGTCCTGCTCGCTCTGCGCCTGCCCTTATTTCGTTCTCGTCGCAACATGGGGAAACGGATGCGATCCGATGGCAGCCTCGCCAAGCCGTGTAGAAGCAAGCTTGCTTCTGCAGAGAGAGCGGAAAAGAGTGTAGGCTTGGTAGAGCCCGTAAGCCAAGAAGAGGGGAGGCCACCTGGCCAGGCATCGCCGCGGTTGGGCGGGCGGCTGGGCCAGGCAAAGAGAGGCGAGGGGGCGGCTCTCCACCGCCGGTGCCGGCTGCTTGCCTGCGGCTTTCCCCCTCTCGCTCAGCGCGCCTGCTAGCCAGCCGACTCTTTTGCTGGCCCGATCTTGCAAGAGAAAGGGGCTCGATTCTCGACTTCCCCTCGTCGCCATCACTCTTAGACTGGCGAAGCCCTTCTTGATGTTAGCACTCCGTCGTCGGAATTGCCATATCGAGCCGGATTGGCGCGGCTGCGGGGAACAAAGGGTCCGCTCAGGGGCATCTCAGTCCCGGTCGATGGATGGAACCATCATCATCACCACCGTCGCGACGGACGGCTGCTTTGGCGGCGGGCGAGGATGCTTGGACGCGGCTCGGCCTGGCGTGTGCCGATCCCCAGCAGAGCGTCATGGGAGGTCCGGCGTGATACCAGCCCTCGACCGATGGTCGGAGCGGTAGGCTCGTGCGGCAACCGTCGCTGCGTGGCATGCCACGAGATGGCGAGCTCAGCGCTGGGATGGCGGCGAGAAGAGTGGCCCACAGGGCTTTCACCGGGGCCGGGCGGGCCACTTCCGGAGGCTGTGCTCGGAGAGGCGGTGGATGGCTGCGTGCCGCCGTGCCGCCGTGCCGCCGTGATGCTGAAAGCCCAGCGTAGCGTCGACCGTCGACGGGCGCTTTCGCTCCGACCGCGGCGAGCGGCGTAACCCCACCTTCACGAGACGTCACGAGAGCCTTCGCACGGCGGGCCATCTCGACTTTGGACGGGCGTCCTACACGCCGATCCCGTCGTTGCCTTCCCACCATCTGTACCATGGACCCCCCCTGCTGCTCAGCTTGCTGGCTGGCTGGGTCTTCTCCGACTGCACCCGCGTTGGACGGGTCGCGCCACCTGAGCCGTTCGAGCACCGAGCCGCACCGCGTGGGCCTGCCCATGCCTGGTTGCTTGCAGCTTGCAGCCGGCGCACGATCGGACCCTTGATCAGACGCAAGACCATCGTCGTTCAGCAGCGAGCAAGGCCTGCAGCAGGTCAACGCCACGCCGCACCGTCGCATTGCCCGTCGACATGATCATCCATTGGCGGCCTGAAGAGAAGGACCGAGGCGAGCCCGCGAGATCGGGCGGCAACTCGATCTCGACCTCAGCGCAGCCTCGAGCATCGATCGGGGGGTGCCAACTGCTTGAAAGGGAGCACGGAAGCTGGGAAGCGACGACCCGCGCAACGATTGACCCAACGCGTAATCGCAGCCTCCCTGGTCGGATCTCGGCGAGGCCTGGCTGTCTTTCTCCTTTCATCGCCCCCGGCCGCGTCCGCCGTTGGGCGGGGCTGAGCAGATTATTGGACGGCTCCGCTTTCGGCCTGTCACCCGGTTGTCCGTCGGCAGCGGTATTCAAGGTCCGCTTCCGGTTCGTTTTTCGTTGAGCCGGCTGGCTGGCTGGGCCTCGCGACTGCGGCATCCACCGGTTCACGCGCCCACGCACACGTACGGAAGAGGCGCTCTGGCCTCGGTCCGAAGCAGCGGTCGGTGAGCGGGAAAGCCACGCCGCTCCATGACCGCCGCGCTTCCTCACACGACAGACAAAGACAGGCAGGCAGGCCAGCAAGCAAGCAACCGTGGCGCGCCGGTGAAAGCGGGCTGCGAGCAAGTTGAGCCGGATCGATCCAGGGTCCGAGCCTTGCTTGGTTCCTGGGACGCAGAACCTCGCCTGCAACTCGCCTGTGGGCCAGGCATGTCTCGATGCGCGCACATCGATCGACGAAAGGCCTGGCCCGTCAAGACGTACGGGCCCGCTGCCGTGGGCAAGCCCAGAGACCCTGCGTGCTGCGATTCGCCGTCGACCCTTCGCCTGCCTTTGGGCGACGACGGCGACCGTCTTTCGTCGAGAGCAAAGAGAAGAAGACGCCGAAGCGAACACCAGGGCCTTACCGCAGGCATCAAGGAGAGTGTCCTCATCCAACCTCGCGGGGACTGGTCACGGCATGTACGTTGCGGCCCGTCCTGCCAGGCCAAGCCAAGGCAGGGCTTGGAAGCAGGTACCGAACCGACCGACACGACGGTTTGGGCGAAAACTTTATCCCCGCTTGGCCTGTCGGCCTGGCCGGCCCTGGGCTGGATGGACCCTTTTGTGTGCCTCCTCGTCATAAGACGCCGGACCTCGGTTCGATGCCGTTGGCAAGATGCCCGCCTCGTCAACGCCGTCGAGGTCCGCGTTCGTTTGGCCTCGGTCGACGTCAGACTCGCACAGTCGCCACGAGATGGGCAAGCTTAGATGGTGTGCCAGATAGGTACGGATTCAACAGGCCGGGAAAGGACAGTGCGGGAGGATCTGGACAAACAGGCTGAGCTGCGAAGCGATTGAAAAGAGCGGTCGGATGCTGAAGGGCGAGGGGTTGAAAGGAGCGTGCGTGGTAGAGACTCGGTGGTCGACGAGGGGCAGCAGCGGAAGGAGTGTGTGTGTCTGGGAGCACAGGGGAAGATACCGGGGACGAGAAACACGGTCGATCAACACGGCGCGACAGAGGCAACGTCCATGGGTGGATCGGAGTGGGGAAAGGGAACAGATAGAGCAGCTGGGTTCGTCGACGAAGTGCAAGCCCTTGTTGGCTGCTACCGCCGCCGCTGCTGCTCCTACTGCTGCTGCTGGACGCTGCGCAGTACGGGGGCCTTGAAGCTCATGATCGAGGTGGACCGTTTGAGGTAGTCGGGCTGGGCGGACGAGGCGTCGGATGAAGAGGCGATGGACGCCGTGCTCTCCTTTCTCGTGAGGCGGAGCGGCGAGGTCGTGTTGGCCAGCTGCTGCTTTGCCTTTTCGGCCGAGGCCGCCAGCTGAGCCACGCGACCGGGCGTACCGCCGCCGCCGCCGACGACGCCTCCGTAGGTCGGGGTGCTGACGCTGCTCGGGATGCCGCCACGCAGTGGCGTCCGGCTGACGGCGCCTCCGCCGCCGCCTCCGCCTCCGCCCGTGAAGTCCTTGAGCGCCTGGTTGCGGTTCTCGAGCATAGCAATCTTGTTGCGCACCGAGGGAACGACAATTGAGCTGCCGCGCAGGGTGTGCGAGCTCGAGGAGCGCGTCAGCGTCCCATCGGCCAGGTCGGTGGTGCTCGCCGAGTGCCTGAGCGTGCCACCCTCGACCTTGTCCGGACGAGTCAGCTGCTCGCCCCGCGACGAGACGGATCGAGGAAGCATCGAGATGCGGTCGCTCAGCGCCCCCGACGAAGGCGCGGTCTTGGCCTTGCCCAAGTCTTCCGTCTCGAGGCCCAGGTCCTGCTCCTGGTCGCGGCTAGAGACGCTCATGCCCCGGAGACGCCCAGCGGCGGTCGAAGTGAACCTGGGCAGCTCGTTGCAGACGCTCTCCGGCGTGTCTGCGCCAGAGCTAGTGGCCGGCGACGAGGCGGTCGTGTCGGAAGGCGTGTCGCTGCCCGAGGTGGCGCCACCCTGCTTGCGTCGAGCTGCACCGGACTTGGATCGCTTGGAAGACGACGAGGAAGCACCACGCTTGCGTGGCATCTCCTCCGCCTTCGGTGCAGGGGACGGCGCCGCTGCGGGTGCCGCCGACTTGGTGGCGGCAGCGATCTTAGCGTCCGCCGGTGCCATTCGCTCCTTGGCCGATCGGTTGTGGACGAGTGGACTGGCGATCTGGTCCTGCGAGACCTTGGCGCGCAGAACAGGGGTAGCAGAGGCCCCCGTCGATGCCGTCGACATGTTGGGCGTCTCCCTGTTCGTCTTGAGCGGGTTTTGGCCCGTCGCAAACGTGAAGCTCGACTTGGTCTTGAGCTGCGGCTTCTGCGGCGAGGACGGCGTCGGCGGCTTGACGGGCGACGACGGCTTGACGGGCGACGATGGCCTGGCTCGGATGCGCAGGGGCGCCGTTGGGCCGGGCGATGCCATCGTCGGTGAGACCTTCGGCAGCGAGGCCTGCACCGGCCTGCCTGAAGGGCTCTTGGCGGGCGACGCGCTTGCGGAAGGCTTGGCGATGCTGCCTCGAGGAGCTGCCTTTGGCGGCGTAGCACGTTCCGGCTGCTCTGTAACGGTTTGAGGGTTGGGTGCGGCTACCGGCGGTCTGGGCGAGGGTGAGAGCTGGATTCGGGGCGCGATGGCCGGCGAGGCGGTGTGAGTCTCCTCGATCTCGGGCTCCTCAACCGGCGGCTTGCTTTGCGGGATGACCTGCATCAGCTGCGAGACCTCGGCGACATCCTCCTGCTCGTCCGTCTCCCAGTCTTCCTCCTCGACCTGGTCGCGCTCCCTGCGCCAAGCATTCGCGTGCGTCGCGGAGAAGTCGGCCTCGTCTTCGGCCTCGGGGATCATCTCCATGCAGTCGTCGTCGTCGTCGTCGTCATGGCGACCAGCTTCGGTTTCGACGGAGGCCGTGGGACGACCCACGTTGTGCACGATGCCCTGGACACGGCCATGCTCGTGGCCACTCGCATCCTTGTCCTCTTCCTCGTTCTCGTAAACGTCATCGTCGAAGGCGGCCGACTCCTCAAACGAGATTGAGAGGTCCGGATCCTCGGCGCGGCTGTACTGGACGTCACGGAAGTTTGGCGAGTTCTCTCGGTCCGTCTTGGCGGAGCCGATGACCAGATCCACCTCGTCGACCGACTCGTCATTGAGGCCGAGGGTGCGGTCCGGGTCGGATCCGTCAAAGTCGTCGTCTCCGGCCTCGTCGGCAGATGCCGCGTTCATGACGCGGAGCTTGGGCACGGGCCTGTAGCCCTGCGACGATGTCAGGCTCTCGCGGTCGTACGGCAAGCAGCTCGGGTGGATCGGCCCGATGCTCGAGGCCGTGCCCGGAGAAGAGGCTGCAGCTGGCGAGCGGTGCACCAGGCTGTTGGCGGGTCCCGCCGGATCGAGGTTGCGCTGAAGCTGCACCGCTGCCGAGGATGGTCCTTCGCCCTCGTCCGAGATTGCGATGCCGAGGCCCAGCGGGCTTGACTCGGCGCTCGGAGGCGCCACGCCGCGACGGGCCGCGGCGCTCCTGATGGCGTGGTTGATAAAGTCGAGTGACTTTTGGTGCTGCAGCCGCTTGGTGCGCTCGAGCTCGCTCTCCTCGTGCGTCGTGGGCTGGGGCGCGGGTCCACTCCCTCGCCCGCCGTGCAAGGAGAGCTCAGACTTGACCGGGCTACGCAGGGCCTCGATCGACTTGACCTTGGCGATCATCGGATCGACCCCGAGGCCTGCGCCGGCGGGCTGAGCCCATCCTTTGAGTCGGTCGGCTCGGTCCAGCCCGACGGGCGACGATCCGCTTGACTTGCCGCCCCGCAGCGGCGGAGGGTCGAGCGAGACAAAGTTGACGACGCGCAGGGGCAGCTCGACCGACACGTCCGAGGAGAGCGAGCTTCCGACCGACACCTTGATGGCGTACGTCACCTCGACGTGCCGCCCGCGCGAGATGGAGAGCGCGTCGCTGGGGAGGGTCGTGTAGTGGGAGAAGTCGACGCTGCCGCCAGTCTCGACGCCGGTCCACCATCCCTTGGCGGTGACGACGCCCTTTGACCCCTTCTGACCCATCTCGAGCGCCTCTTCGGTGATCTTCTTGCGCGTGGTCGAGGTCTGGCAGGCGTCCGGGTCGTAGTAGCCATCGACGTCGGCTCGCTTGGCCACGTCGAGCTCCGGCCGCGGCCGGTAGAGGGTGACGGTCCGGATGAGCGAGAGCGTCATGCTGTTGATCTTCTTGTTGGTCTCGTTGTGGACCGCGACGTTGACATAGACGCGCTGACCCGCCACCCACGTGGCGCGGTGAAGCGATGCCGTGAGGTGGACCTTGCCCGATCCGCCCAGGAAGAGGCCCTTGCTCGTCGAGGCCTGGATCGGTCGCGGCGCGCTCGACAGGACGACGGCCGGGTTCAGGTAGGGATAGAGCTCGACGTGACGGTAGAAGTGCGCAATCGAGCGGTTCGACCCGCCGGAGCTCTTGAGCTTGACCGAGCCGATGACAATGTAGCGCACGACGGCGTTCTTTCCGCGGTAGCTGCCCTTGGCGCCCTTGGCGATCGGCAGGTCGAGGCTGAAAGGGATCGAGTGGGTGCCTTCCTTGCCGACGGCGAAGCCCTCAAAGTCCGGCGAGCCTTCGTAGCACGGCAGCGATGAGTGCCCGCGAGCCTCTGGCGAGGAAAAGTCGGGCGAGCCGTGGAGGTAGTAAGGTTCGCTCGGGCCTCCGGAGCTGCGGTCGCCGTCAATGACGGAGGCATGATGGTAGAAGATGTGCCTCGTGTCGTCGTTGAGCAGCTCCTCGAAACCGACGACGCGGATCTTGGGCTGGGCCAGCATGACTGCGCCCTCCTTGTCGGCGCCCTTCCTCAGCTTGATCTGCATGCGGCCGGTCATTGTGCCGCCTTCCACCACCAGGTCGCTCTCGAGGACGAGATCGACTTCGACGCGCGCCTTGCTGGCCTTCCCCTGCTCGAGCGCGGCCGGCGGCGCCGCCTGGCTGCCGACGGCGTTGGACCGCTGCAGCTTGGCCTTGCCTTTGTCACTGTCGCTGCCGGGGAGTTCGCCACCCGACGCGGCCGAGGCTGGCAGCTTGCGCCCCGAGTTGCCCAGCAACCGGTTCAGCTCCTTGGAGCGTCGGATCGGGTTAGCGCCTGTGCTGAGCAGGGTTCCCTGGCGATCCAGAGCAACGGTAGACGCAGCGGCTTCGGACAGGCTCCGTCGAGGACGGTTGCGGATGCCGTTCGCGGGGAGCGCGTCGCTCCTGGCTTCGCTGGCGGCGCCGAGTACGCCCTGGCTGACCGACGACGACATTCGCGCGCCTCTTGGGCCTCCCGGCACCGCATCCTCGCTGTAATCGATCTGGGTCGACGCGAGCAGGCTCTGCTGGTCGGCGGTCTCGACGTTGCCCGGCATGATGGGCAGGCCGCTCTCAAAGGCTCGGGTGAGGCGATCGTAGCTGACCATGGCCTCGCCGCGCTCGGCACCCTCGAGGCCTCGGAGCCCGCGGGCGCTTCGCATCGACATGGTCCGGACATTGGCGGTGGCCGCATTGCTCGGCTTGGCAGCCTCCTCGTCTGCGCCCGCCAGTCGAGGTGCTGCCGCCTCGGAGTTGGCCTGGGACGGGCTCGTCATGAGCTTGGCACGTGGAGCACCGACGCTGTTGGCTCTCGACCGGGCCGAGAGGCGGTCGCCGCTGGATGCCACGGAGGCGGTGGACGGCTTGCTGACGACGGTGGGCTCTCGCGAGACTTCACGGCTGACCCTACCATACGCATCGATGCGGCCGGTCTCTTGACCATCCGGAGCGTAGAAGCTGCCGACACGCCACTGCTGAGGTCGTTCGACGGTGTTCGCACCACGATCGCTCGTCGTCGAGTTGCTGATCGGGGCGACCATGCTCGAAGGGCGAGATTGGGTCGGACGAGAGGCATCATCGGTCTCGCCGCCGGCTGATACGGAGCTGGCGGGAGGACTGTCGTCCATCGAGATCCTTGAGAGCAGAGAGGGTCCATCGAAGCACGGACGACCAACGAAGGACGAGCTGCCGCTCTCCGATGACGATGCGAGTGACCGGACCGAGGCGGGCCTCGGGACGGCTTGGACCGTGATACGACTGGCCAGGTCGGGCGGTGCAGCCTTGGCCTCCGATCGTCGTTGAGGGTCCCGCTGCCCAAGTCGGCTAGAGTCCGCCTCCGCTTGCATAGCCTCCTCCTGGCCGGCGCTGCTGGCGTTGCGGCCGAGTCGAGCGCCGCCGCGACCGTAGCCTCGGGCCTGGCCGCGAGCAGAGCCGTTGCGACTGCCGCTGCGAGGGATCTCCGAGGAACGACCGAGGCTCGAGCCGCTGTCGGAGCGGTAGCTTGCCGATAGGCTGGTGGAGCTGAGGCTTCTGCTGACGGCTTTGGAGTTGGCCGGCGGCGGACCTCGGTTGCTGGCGGCGAGCTTCGTCGTGCCGGAGCGAGAGAGCTGCGGCTGCGAAGCGTACTTCTTGAGCGCCTTGGATCTGCCCCTCCCGCTGCTCCCCGAGGAGAAGGTTGTCACCGACGTCTCGGTCCCGGGCGACGAGTTCTCGTCGGAAGTGAGCATGCTCTCGCCGGCGCTGTTGGTCGGTGGCGACGAGGCTGCGAATGTCATGACGGCTGCCGATAGGCTTGCTGGAGGATTGCGACGGATCACAAAGTCTTCCGAGCCCGAGCTGTAGGTTGCGCTCGAGGGCGAGAGGAAGTCCTCGTCCGTGTAAGCGCCGTGGCCCAGCACGCCGGGCTCGCCGCTGGCGATGCGAACGCGCCGCGCTTCGAGTCGTTCGTCATCCGTCGTGGGCCGTCGCAGCTTGCTGAAGCTCGACTTCTTCGGCAAGGCCGTCGAGCGGTGCGATGATTCCGATTTCGCTGGGGTGGCAGATGGGCGCTTCTTCCGGTGTTCTTGACGGTGTTGTTGCTGCGGCTGCTGTAGCTGCTCGCTGGAAGAGGGAGATTGGCGGCGTGCCTTGGCAGCATGCCTGCGCTCGTTGGAACCGGCGGCGGCGGGATCAGGCTCATAAGCCTGCCCGAAGTCGATGCCGAGACCAGACATGGCGATGGATGCGGTGGTCGGTCGGCCTGAAGTGGATGAAGGGGATAAGGAGGCCGTGGTTGTGGAGGGGTTTGGGAGAGGTTGGGGAACGGCTCGGTGAAGACTGTCTGGTTCGTTGATATCAAAGCATGGGAGATCGAGGAGCGGGTTGTGGTCTGGGCAGCTGGCTGTGAGGTGATGGCTGGGAGAGACGGTGAATGGGAGCGAGAGGGGATGGCGGCGGGGGTTTCAGGGCAGAGGAAGGGGGCGAAAGTGAAGGAGCGAGAGGGTTGAGGTGAAGGTGAAGGTCAAGGGCAGGTGAAGGTCAAGGGCAAGGCCAAGATCAAGGTCAGCACGAGTGTCCTCCGGCGAAGGCTGAGGTCCAGTGGGGCGACACCGAGACATTGAGGAGGGCGGGAGCGCAAGACATCAACAGGCGGAGACGGTTGTCTGGCATGACGGCGATCCCATACCGTCCGTCGCACGCCTTCCCATGGCCACCCAAAGGTCAAAGTCGAGTCCTTGCTGATCGAAGCGCCCCAAGAGCCGACGCCAAAAAGGCGGCTGGTGTCCTCTGAGAGAGAAGGGAGACCCTGGAGACTGTCCACGTCCAACATCTACGACGCCACTGATCGACGTTGGTGGTGATGGCCAGTGCAAGCGCTGCTGCCGTGATGCGCTGCTGCCTTGATGCGCTGCTGCCGTGACATCTCGGGCGCCGTCGCGAGAGACTCGGGTTGGTCGATGTCACGCCGGCGATTAAGAGAGTGCCTGTCGGAACATTCTCGGAAGCCTTCCATGAAGCAGGCTACCGGTACTTAGCGGTCGCTGACGAGGAGGCGCGCGGGTGGCTGGGGATGAGAGCAAACGCGCGCGCTCGATGGACGGACCATATCGTTTCCGCGCGAGCCCCACCCGACGTTGCCGAAAGATCGTCTGCGAGGTAACCTCCCCTCTGTCCGCCGCCGGCGAGAGACGCTCTCGTGACAAGATGGCCCGGGGTATCCGTACAGGGGTGGATCCTCTGCTGTCGATGTGCCAGACCTGGTGCTGCGGGCGACGTGGTGGAAGGGTGCAGAGCCCGAGCCAGAGAGGCAGTGTCGCGAGTGCTGCAGTGTTGGACATTTGGATGGACCTCAAATCGGCCCGATTCCGTTGTGTCGATGCTTCCCGATCCTTTTCAAAAGCTGCCATCGGGGCAAGGGGCTGAAAAAAGGTGACGTGCGTGCGTGAGGGGCGGCGCAGACGGTCAGCCTGCCTGACTCTCTGTCTGCGTGGCATTGGCTGGAAGGCGGGGCGTGGCATGGACGCCAGCCAACCTGCCAGCCAAGGGAAAGGCCCGCTGTGTGGGTGGCCTGCGCACGCACGCACGCACGCTGCTGCTGCTGCTGCTGCTGCCACCTGGGCCAGAGCAGCAACCAAGCGAGCGAGCGCTCCCTCCAGAAGGTTCATGGGCTCCACCGCCACCATCCATCCATCCAACCTCACCTACCCGCTTGCCTGCCTGCTTGCTTGCTCGTCTGCTCGATCGCCTGCTCGCAACCACTGCATCGCTCGAGGTCAACGTCGGACGCCCCATCACAGGCCGACCTCAACCATCGCCCTGGAATCTGGACTGGCGCAGACTGCAAGCGACATCCGACAGCGCGTCGCAGCCACCACCACCACCACCACCACCACCACCACCACCACCACCATCTCCAGCCTCGACCACGATCGGATCCCCAACCCGCTGGCTTCGGCCTCGGATGGACTGTTCGCCCGCATCAGCCCGACGAGCAACCCGGTGGCATTCCCTCTCGCCCTCGGGACCAGGACAAGGCTTCGCACCCGTAGCGCCCGCATCCCTGCTTTCCTCAGATACATCCTCCGCCCTGTCCGCCGCTCTCGCCACGCCGGACCGACCTGTCTCCATGCTTCGTCTCCTTTGAAGCGTGAGACCTGGCCTCTCTGCATCCAAAGTACGGCCCGTCCTCTTCCCCGACGCCCACGTTGCTCAACACTCGGGCCGACCGCGGATCCGTCCATCGCCCCTCTGTCCGGCTCACCGCGACAACGAGGGCGCTGCAAGATGGACGGTCATCCGGCGTCGCCCGGCAAAGGGAGCGTCCACGCCCGGAACAGGTCCTCGCAGAGTACCAACCCGCCCTCACCCTCGAGCTCCTCGCTCGAGTCTCCCTCTCACCTCCGATCCACCACCACCAACCAGCGACAGCCCTATGCTCGCACCCCTTCCTTCGAGCCGCCGAGCTTCTTCGCGAACGGCGGCTCCGATGCTGGATCCTCCAGTCATCAGGGCCGCGGCGGAGCGCTGACGGTCGACCTCGGTCACGGCGTCGCCACAGCAGAGGAAATGTCGCCTACAGCTCGACGTCTGCACAATGCCGAGGCTGGTCGCGCCAGTGGCTCCGGGCTCGGACGAAATCGCTGGTGGCCTGATGGCACGGGCTCCACCGCAGCTCCTCGGATTCCACGCTCGGGTCGCCATGAGCCCGGCACGAGCGATCCCGACGCCGCCTCGCTCGCCGACGCCCAGAGCGTGGCTGGCCCGGCGACCTACAGCAATGGCGCGGCTCACACTGTCCGGGCGACGATGCCGGCGGGTCCACTAGCCGGCGGGGGCTACTCGTCGTCTGCATCGACAGAAGGCGAAGCCTACCTCAACGCCGCCTCTCAGCTCACCTCGCGGACACCGACGCCGCTGATTGGCGTCAACCTCGACGACCGAGCCGCCGGCGCGCTGACGAGCGAGGCGACCGAGAGCGAAGGGTCCGAGTACGACGAGCAAACTACGCTCAAGCACGGCCGAGGCTCCGAGACTCCGAAGGCGAAGCCGAGCGTGCTGGGCGCCCTGGGAAAGGGCTGGGCGGGAGAGGGCTTCTGGGGCGCCTCGGCCTCCAACGGCCACGGTCCGACGACGGCAAGGGCGCGCAACTCGAAGAAGGGCAAGTGGGTCAAGCCTCGCAGCGGCGCTGGCGCGGGCGCGGGCTCGGATCGGGGCTGGCTGCTCAACGCCGGCGGCTCGGCGCCCAGGTTGCGGCGGCGGCCCAACGCGGCGCTGACCCACCCGCTGCGCATGATGGCCTCGTTCCTCAGCAAGCTCTTCCGCACCTTCTTTGGGCCCATCCATCCGGTCACGATCCTGGTCGCCCTGGTGCTGATCGCCAGCTTTGTCACGTCGGTCACAAAGCTCATCATCTACATCCTCAACCCGGACAAGGAGCCGCTGCCCTGGCGCACCTATTGCCAGCAGCAGCCGCCGTTCCCGCACGCGTACGCGGACGCGCTCGCCCCCGTCGATGTCTTTGTCGGCATCTTCAGCGTCGACAGCTCCTACGAGCGCCGCCACCTGATCCGCAGCACCTACGCCGCCCACACGGTGCCCGTCGATCCGCAGACGGGCGCGCCCCTCGGCAACATCCAGGTCCGCTTCATCATCGGGCGGCCGCGCAAGGCGCACGCGCGGAGGGTGGCGCTCGAGATGGAGGTCTTCAACGACCTCGTCATCCTCGACATGGAGGAAAACATGAACCGGGGCAAGACCCACGCATTCTTCAAGTGGGCCGCCGACAACGCCACAGTGCCCTTCCTGCGTCCCGTCGGCGGCCAGCAGGCGCAGCTGTGGCAGTCGAATGTGGAGCAGTTTGGCGGCGGCGGCAGCGGCGGTGTTGGTGGCGGCAGCTTCGGGCAGACGCACGAGGTGGCGCGTGGCAGCGGCGAGAGCGAGGAGCGGTACGAGGTGGCGTGGAAGAAGGCCGACTACGTCGTCAAGGCCGACGACGACGCCTTCATCGTCCTCGAGGAGCTCGAGCGCCACCTGCGCGTCTCGCCGCGCCAAATGACCTACTGGGGCTACCTGATCCGCAACTGGTTCATGGGCGGCGAGTGCTACGCGCTGTCGAGCGACCTGGTGCAGTACGTCGCCACCTCGGAAAACGTGCTGCACTACACGAAGGGCAAGGAGGACAAGAAGGTGGCGCAGTGGATCAATCTCCATCCCAACCGGGCCGCCATCAATTGGGTGTCGGAGCATTGCTGGATCTACGACCATCCCAAGGCGGGCACCGCCTACTCGCACGGCTTCCTCTTCCCGGATCACGTCGAGAAGATCAAGATGGAAGGCCGTCGGGGCCTGACCGACCAGGAAATTGCTCGCCGCGGCGGCGAGCACCGGTCCAAGAGCTTCTCGACGGTGAGGCGGTGGCACCAGGCCTACACGGAGCCGCGGGGCGACCTGACCATCGAGGAAGAGGTCGAGGCGCTGGTCGAGGGCGGCGGAAGGTGGTCCGGCACCTGGGTGCGCGGCGAGGAGGGCAACGACACGCAGGTGTGGGTGCCGCGCGAGCAGATCGTCTACGAGGCCAGCGACGACCGGCTCAGATCGCCAATGGCGCTCAACGTGGCCACCCACGCCGCCCTGGCCGACGAGGTGCACTTCGACGCAGAGACGGGGCTCGCCATCCGCCGAACTCGCTCCGG